TAGCTACTTGTACCTGGCCAAAGGTCTAATCCAGTAGTACTTTCTTCTCTTTCAGGTACGATGGCAAAGTATATTCGTGTTTCTCCTTTTTTTTATTGCCTAATATAGGTAAGCCTGATGATATTTAGTACTGATGATGATTCTATGTAAGTTATTCTTTTGAATACTTCAATTTTAATGTCTGTGAAGATTATTACTTCATTGTTATGCTTAAGTTAAGCAGAATTATCCTATTTTATTAAATAAAGATTTCGTAGTTAAAATTTTTGACTTATGATTCTTTAATTCTGTGCTTGAGGAAACGTACTCATTACGCCTTCAGTGCTAATGCACAACTAACAAAAGATTATAAGACTGATAAACTGAAATTTTGTAATGTTGTAAGATTCCAGGGGCATAAAGTATTAAAACTCCTTGTTGAAAATACTAGTTACAAAGTTTATAAGAATAATTGTAACAAATAATAATGTCTATTCTAAAAGAATCAATTTGTATAGAAAAGTTAACAGATGAAAATTATTCAGTGTGGAAATTTAAAATAGAACAACTTCTAATAAAAGAAGGTTTAAATGAGTTGTATTCGAAGAAAAACCGGAAAACTGATACCGATATTTGGTTAAAGAATTATCGTAAAGCTAAAGCTTTAATATGTCTAGACATTCGGATTCGCAAATTATCCATGTTTTACATAGTAAATCTCTGCAAAGAAGTTTGGCAAAAGTTAAAATGTGTCCATGAACATGTAAATTTAACAAATAAGTTATTTCTCTAGAAAAACTATATTCCATTAGATATAATGAAAGTTCTAAAATGCAGGAACATATCAAAGGAGTACTAGAATTAGCTGAAAAGCTGCGTAGTATAGGTGAAGAAATTAAAGAAAATAACTTAAATAGCAGTATTATGTTCTTTACCAAATCATACAGCTCCTTAATAACTGCAATAGAAAGTAATCGGAAGCTGAATTGTCGCTAGAATATGTTAAAAAAAACAATTTAGATGAGTTGTAGACGTGTGGAAACTAAGAAAGCACAAAAACTACGATTCAGTTGCTTTAAAAAGTAAAAGCGAAAAAATCAAAGTAAGTACACAATATTGTAATTATTGTAAGAGAAATACCCCCATACGATAAAATGACTGTTTTCATTTAAATGCAATGCTAGAACTTCCCCGAAAATAGATGTAAAAAAAACAGTAAAATAAGAACATTATTCTCAAAATATAAAAGTAATGCATGCCAAATAGCAAACGCCAAAGAGTAGAAAACATAACAAAACTTAAAGAAAATAAGTATTTTAAAAGTATTGAAACTGAAAATTTGCAGATTCAGTTAAATCAAGTTCTAAAAGTTGAAAATAAACATGAAAACACACTAACGCAAGAATGGGTTATTAACTCAGGAGCCTCAACTCATATGACGAGTAATAAGAATTTTTTCTCTCAGTTTAAACAAATAGTAACTGTAGCCAATGGTTCTAAATTAAATTCTTATGGTATTGGTGAAAGCTATTTTAAAGTTCGAAACTTAAAGGGTCAGAGGTTACACAAATAAAATTAGAAAATATATTGTATGTACCAGGTTCAGATAGTAATTTACTTTCTGTTCAATCTGTTACGAATAAAGGTTGCATTGTTACATTTGATAGTAATAAGTGTTACATAAAGCGTAACAATATACTCGTAGCCGACGGCAATGCTCAGCAAGATTTATATAAATTGACCGTAAACTCAATTGACGAGAAAAAAACAATACTTAGCTAATGATGTTTCATGTTCTAATACGAAACTGTATAATAAATGGCATCAAAGATTAGGCCACATAAATATAGATGCCATAAAAACACTTGAGAAAAATGATTTGGAGACGGCATTAAACTTGGCAAATGCACTCATAGTGTGGAATGTTCTACTTGTGTAAAAGCGAAACTAACTGAAAAACCTTATCTCAAAACTAGTTTTAGATCTAAAAATCCACTGGATTTAGTTGCACACAGATGTGTGAGGGCCAATTGAAGTCAACAGCTTAGGAGGGAAAAGATATTTCGTAACTTCTATTGATGACTATTCGCGTTATACTCAAATTTATTTTATTACTTCAAAAGATGAAGTATTCGACAAACTTAAACAGTATGTTGCATCGACAACAAATAAATTTAGAAAGAAAATAAAGGTTCTCAGATCCGACAACGATACAGAATACTGTAACGAAAGTACTGAAAATTATTTAAAGAAACTCGGCATTTTTCACCAAACTTCGGTTCCTTATTGTCTGGCACAGAACAGTGTCGCAGAAAGGAAAAATCGCTCTTTAATAGAAATGACAAAAGCTATGCTAATAAACTCTAAATTACTGAAAGGATTCTGGGCTGAAGCAGCAGCTACTGCCGCATATCTTCAAAATAGGTTACCAACTAAAGCCACAGATAGAAAACCATATGAATTGTGGAATGTAGAAAGAAAACCAAACTTAAGTCACTTACGAGTATTTGGCTGTAAAGCATTTTATTATGTGAACAAACAAAAACGGCGTTAAATCGACAACAAAGCTGAAGAAGGAATATTCGTAGGATACGATTCACGAAGTATGGCATACAGGATTTATGTAGGTGGAAGGAAAATAATAGTAAGTAGAACTGTTAAATTTGCAGAAAACGCGTCTTTATCTGACAAACATGCAGAAAATAATGCTGAAGATTTAGAATTAATTCACTTCAATAACTCTTAAGAAGATGAAGAAAATAATGAAGAAACATCTCTTGGCGGTGATTTTACAGAAGATTCAGAAAGTTCTGAAGAGTTAATTAAATGTAAAGAAAATGTAGAAAGAAGGGTTTCTAGCAGATCAACCAAAGGGGTCCCACCGGAAAGATTCTCTTATAAAGCAGAAGACGAAAAATCAATCTTACCTAAAAATAAAGATCCAGAAAGCTTTGAAGAAATTCTAAATTTTACCAAAACGTGAACAAGAAGCTTGGATCAAGGCTATGCAAGAAGAAGTACATTCTCTAAAAGAAAATGAAACCTATACACTTACAGAATTACCACCAGGAAAACATGCAGTAGGCAGCAAATGGGTGTTTAAGACAAAATATGATGAAACTGGTAAAAATATAAAATACAAAGCACGCTTAGTAGCCAAAGAATTGACTCAAAAATACGGCAGTGGTTATGATGAAACGTTTTCACCAGTAGTGAAACGCACTACGATAAGAGTTTTCTTAGCATGGGCAGCGTATAATAATGCCAAGGTACATCAACTAGATATTAAAACAGCTTTTTAAAACAGCTTTTTTGTATGGCAACTTAAATGAAGAAATATATATGGAACAACCAGAAGGATCCGTGGTTCCGGAAGAAAGACATAAAAGTTTGTAAATTACAGAAGTCGATTTATGGTCTCAAACAAGCAGCTAGGTGCTGGAATGCAGAAATTGAAAATACATTGAAGAATCTTGGGTTCAGTCAAAGCAAAGCAGATCCGTGTATTTTCACAAAAGTGGTTCGTGACAAAAGAATTAATTTAATAGTGTATGTTGATGACATCCTAATAAGTTCTACAGAAGAAGGACTAATTCTTCAAACCATTAATGATTTAAAGAAACATTACCAAATAACGCATCTTGGTAAGTCTAAATATTTCTTAGGCATGGAAATAAATCGCAAGGAAGATGGAAGTTATCTCTTATCCCAGAAAAATAAAATAAATCAACTTGTCAAGCAATTTCAACTTGAAGAAGCAAAACCCGCTAGCACACCAATGGAAACAAACTATTATAAGCTAAACAAGGAAGAAAATCTCCTAACTTCAAATGATAAATTTCGCCAAGCTATTGGAAGTCTTTTGTATATATCATCTATCACAAGACCAGATATCACAGCTTCAACTCACATACTCAGCAGAAGGTGTAATAATCCACGTCAAAAGGACTGGAATGCTGTTAAAAGAATCATTAGATACTTAAACACGACAAAGAATCTCTCCTTACAAATTTCGTCGAGTGAAGAACCTAATATTACAGTTTATTCAGATGCTGATTGGGGACAAGATATTGAAGGTAGAAAATCTACATCAGGAAGTGTTATTTTATTAGGAAAAAAACTGTATTTTCATGGTTTTTCAAGAAAACAAATTGTGTTTCTTTATCCTCAGCAGAAGCTGAATATGTTGCACTATCGCAAGCTACGCAAGAACTATTATGGCTATTAAAATTAACAGAAGATTTCAATCTACCCCAAACTCTACCGATAAAGGTATTTGAAGATAATCAGTCTACTATAAGACTTGTAGAATCTGAAAAATTCAGTTCACGCACAAAACATATTGATACAAAAGTTCATCATATACGCGACTTGAATAACAAAGGAATAGTAAAACTTGCTTATCTTTCAACAGAGCAAATGGTTGCAACTGATATTATGACTAAACCAATTCCTAAAGCTAAATTTCAGTTTTGCAGGAATGAATTGCAATTGATATGAGTTTCATTAGCAAAACAGCGGCAACAAAGCATACTTAATCAAGGCAAATGCCAGATCAGAGAGTACTATTTTAAAGAAATACAACCTGCAACAACATAATCCTTTCAAAAATATCAGCAAAATTTAAACATTTCAATATTAAATTTTACAGCTAAAATATAAAAACTAAATTTTACTTAAAATACAATCAAATTATTTTCAATAAAAATAATTTTTTCCCACTGGTTTGGAAATCATTTTAATAATCTAAACTACATGAACACAGTAAAATCCTTTTTGACAATGACTATTACGAATTTGATAAATCAATTATTATAATTCTTATTTTAATTAACTGGTGTATTATAGCTAAGGCTCTGCTGTTCTATGAATTAAATTGAATATTCATACAGTTAAACTGAATAAGGTTTTTCAGATCAAACTATTCTAATATGCTCTGAATATTCACAGAAAACATGAAAAACTAAACTTAATTGCCTAAAATATTTAATTATTAGCAAATCAACATTTTATTTACATACCTTTAATAAGTGGTGGATAGTAACGAAGAAGAACATTACGAGTCCCTCCTTTAGAAGTTGATTTCTTCCAGTGTTTGGTAACATGAGTAAATGAAAAACGTGCATGATCTTCGACAGTTTTCAGTTTAAAATACTTGGTGTTAAAATACATCAATGTGTTAAGAAGAACATGAGGTGAATGAGCTCCAAGTTGCTTTGATTCCCATAATATTTCTTCTTCAATCAATGTAGCAGCACCACCTAATTATTAATAAAATAAACTATAACATATGCTTACTTTTGATATTTAATGGTAAAGATATTCTATCACAAATAAATACTAATTATTTCACATTATAACAATAGAAATACCAAAAATTAATGAATGTTTCTTTTAAGGAGAAAATAAGACACCACTTAAATGGTTTGTTAGATCTACTGTCAAATGAAATCCAGCAACCAATCTGATGTCATATATCTACAGCCAAACAAAAACAAGTTCACACCATGAAAAAGCACTGAATTTTGATGAAACTGATCAGAAACATGGGGAAGAAAATGAGGAAAATGAACGACTAGAGAGTCAGTAATATAATTTATTGAAGTAAAAGTGGCCTACAGGCATTACAAATTAATATGTTTCAGGGCCATCTCGGGCATTGATGCATTTAGAAATGCAGTCTGTCATGGCCATAAAAACATGTAATGCTATTCTGACAGATTTTGGTGTAATTGCACTGCCAGGCAGACATGTTTTAAGGTGGCTGAAGCTGGTATTAACCCACAGAGGAAGGAATAGAAGGAGACACCATCTTTCTAGCATGGCTGATGCAGTGCTGCTAAATTTTGATAATCTAAGGGGGGGGGTATGGCACTTTTATTTACATCCAGCACATGTTACTTTGACAGTGGCTTACAGGCACTTCCACACATGACAATTTTGCTTAAATTGAAAGTAGGGACATTTCTGCCCAAAACATTTATTGCAGGATGGGTAATTCAAGTTTGCATAGTTTAATAGCCCTTGTACATAAAATCATATCTTAATAATTTTTTGACAACTTCCAAAAACAATTTTGATTATTAATTTGCTTTACAAAATTTTAAGCTACTGGAGACTACTAAAATATAGATTTCAACCAAAGGTTAATATTATGTGTACGGATTATTAAATACCTTTAGGAGTCAGTTACCTCTAAAATGCCAAAATATCTAAAAAATATAAGATATTTTAAAGCTCAATATCTTTATAACTAAACAGTTTATACACATGAAATTTTGTATAATTATTTCAAAGTCCTTGATAGCATACTTGACATTTTGGAAGTTTCAGATGTTTGTGAATTTAGATCAACTACTTGTTTTAAATGTTCCAAAAAAATGAAGCAAAGTTGGTATGAAGAGTAAGGCAATCAAGATTGTGATCTTATGACAGTGAGGTTAATGTTTAAATGTGAAATAGGTAGACTGAAAATCTCTGAGAATATTTATTATATTCTCAGAGAATTATTGAGTAAAATTACTAAGTGATGTATTAAATACTCTGCCAAAATATATTTACTGGAAAATTTGAATTTGATAATGAATGTATACAGAAACGTGTTTTAAGTAAAAAGTTTGCAACTTGAACTTTAATGTAATTATAGAATTATACATTTTAAAATATTTTTTATTTGACACATAGGTTAAGTTAGGTTATTTAAATATGGCAAAGCAAGTGAGAGCTATCTGCCTAAGGGAAGGGATGCCTTTGTGGAGGACTAATGGAAACTGGCTCCTATTTATATCATTCATAGGGAAAACTATGAAAATCAACACTACAGCCATCCTGTTCTGAACTGAACCTGGATAGAACTCCAAACATCTGTCTTAGCCATTCAGCCACTAGAAGGGCCCATATTACTCGTCAGATATACTATTACTACTTTACATGAAATATACCCCGCTGAGTTTATATCAGAAATAATGCAAGTAATTTTCTTACACGTATTTCTTAGGTAATTATAGTGTAAAAGTAGAGGACAAGGGCTGATATATACTATATACTAAATTATAGTAATTACTTTAGTGGAAAAATATAGTAAATGCACAGAAAAGAAAGATATGCACATGCTAAAAATGAAAAATGTTAAATATATATGAGTATTTATCCATGTTGGTTTTAAAAATGTGTATTTTCCTTTAACTAAACATGTAAACATTAATTAAATTACTTATAAATACATATGGAAATAAAGGATTTATTCATTCATAAACTGCAAAGAAATCTTGTAATTAAATTTATCATATAATGACCTTAACATTGTAAACATAAATTTAAATTCTATAGACAAATGTATTTATACACTATTTGAGCAAGAATTATTTATACTGGAAAACAGTCTTCTACAAGGTGTTGGAAAGCACAGTATTTGAGATATATGCTTAAGGGAGTACAATTTTTAGAATGTGTATTGTTGAATATAAAGGTCAGAAGAAATTTTTTTATAAATATTTAAAGAATTATTTCTTTACATTTTATAATAACTCATTTACATGTCTTAAAAATATTTAAAACTTTCCCCTCTATCCCTTCCCAAAATCCTCATAGAACATATATGTAAATCACAAATCAAGAGCAATATTTAACACATTTAATTATTAAAATAAAAGGTGTTCTTATTTTAAATAAACCAACCAGAGTGTTAATTATGGAGTGAATATGATTTTTGATTTCAAAGATACCTCAGAAAGCTGAAAATCATTTCATATTTGACAAAGTACTTTTAGAAAGAGGCTAAAACTTCTTTCTAATATAATTAATGAAAAACTTGTATAATTAACAATGTGAAAACATTTCATTCAAAAAGAACTTTCTGAATGCAGGGAAAAAAGTATAGCATTTAATTCCTTTTAGAATAAAATGTTGTTTAACCTTCCAGCAAGCACGCGTCGTATTTTTTATGACATCCGTTATTTCGTTTTTGGCATGAAAAATGACAGAAATGAGTGAATATTGATAATAAATTTGTTAAGAAATAAAATATTAACCTTATTTTTGTAAAATACAAATGATATCACATTCAAATATAAGTAAATCATTTTTAAGTTCTTATCTTAGTGAGATGGAAATGCAATGATGTATTTCATTATATAATATTTTAAATTTATTATTTAATAATTATATTTTAAAATCGAAGCTAATTTTAATATTCATCAAAGGCAAGTATAGACATATAAAAAAGGAAATCACACTTTCTCACATTTGTAGGAAAAAAAGTAAGTTAAGCATAACTTACTTCTGTAAGGAAATTTACTTCTTACCGGTTATAAAATGCACTTTAAACTAACTTTAATATTTTTATTTACTTCTAAAAAATAGAAATAAAAGAAAATAAGGAATAGAAATCGCTATTGTTCTCCCATGCAAAGGTTTCCTTGTCTTCCTTTTCTTCATCTGATAATTCTTGAAGAATGCAAGCAAAATCAGCTGGTTGCAAATATTTTTTTGCCATGAAAACCGATATAAAAATTAAGAGCCAAATGTATACAAATTCAAGTTAAAATAATACACGGCAATTAATAACACAAAATTACAAAATATTTGAGAAAAAATTTTTTTCCGAATTTTCACCCATGACCATGCGCGTTTCGTAACTTTTATGAAAAATCTGCCACGTAGCACAAAAGCCCCCTCCCCCAAATAAAGAAAAGTCAAATGACTTCCTGTTGGCACATTCCATGATGTGGGAAAGGGTAGAAAGGAGGAATAGAAATGACCTTCAGACGTCTCAGCTTTGATATGCGAAGAAGGTGCATTAAAAACAGAATTTGTCATAAATTTTGCTCATATGCGCATGCTGGAAGGTTAAAAATGTACTCTTTCACACAGTCGAACTCACAGTATAGAAACAGAAGTCTCATACAGTATAGAAGAAGAAAATATATACATTTACACTTACAAATTAATATTATGTAACTACAGTGTAATTACAAACTCTGTTTACATCTGAACATGTCAAAACCTATTGATCTTAATGGTAAACCACTAAATATTTTTTATTAACAAGAATGATATGGCTCAGTGCAAACAAAATTGAAATGCAAAAATTGGTCTGGGCCATTCCTTTTTCCAGGGGTTAATCATGCTGCAAATAACATGAAGCTGAATGACCGGGTAACACAGTAAGGTTGCCATGTTGTGGTGAAAATTTGCAGCAACTTGTGCAGCATGCAAACAAGCATTACCATACTGAAAAATAGTCCTTGCAAGGCCTGACAAGATGAGTACTATTATAGGCTGCAGAATTTTGTCAATGTTATGTTGGCTGATCAGAGTTACGTGCAGGAGACTAGGTATCATATGCAACAACATTCCATACAATAATGCATGTCACTAAATGATATTGAGTGAGCAGGGCTGACTTCTTCCTCTACACGTAGATGCAGTGTTTGCAAGAACCTGGACTCATCACCTGAAAGTCATTGTATGAATTGTAAGCACTCTTCAGGAGTCTGGCTCTTTTTATATATTTATGACTTTTCATATATTAACTATGAAAAAACTGTTCAAATGTAAATGTACTCAAAAACAAAGCAATTATTTCTATTGCAAAAATTTGTAACTGAGAATATTTATCTTTCAATTATTGCTAATAAAAGTAATCTGGGTCTTCAAATCTAGTATAATATTTATGTCACAATGCCAATTAATTAACTCTATTTCTATATTTTTTGGAGAGTTGCATTCATTTTTGGTACTGAAAATAATGTTAAGAGTAAATGTATTCGTGGACCACATACAACCCACCAGTTTCAAACCACTGCATTATCATATGGAACTTTGAAAGAAGCCAAGGAAGGGGGAAAAAGTCACCTTTAAACTCAATGTAGAGTACAATGTAAAACTTCAAAGAAAAATACTCGCCTTTGTATAATAGTAATGCCTAAAATGTAATAACTAGAACAAATTCAGTTATAAACAATTAACACTCATTTCTTCAATCTGAATGCGATAAAAGTACCGCGTGTGCATTTAAGGAAAATTCAAATATGCTTTCATGTTATAGGAGGGAAAAAAAAGGGAGAAAAGGTTTTTTTCCTTTGTCCTTGCAAAATATACTATTTTGTTAAAGACGTTGGTATTCACACAGCATACAGAGGGAAAATTAGAGAAGACATGCTGGCGTGCAGTTAATTTTGTTATAAATTTCTGATTCTAAATAAAATCAATGATTCAATTTCAAACTGTGTATTTAAAGTAATTAACATGGATTTTATTATTTGACTGAGATAAAAAATAACAGTTTCTTTTTTTTTTTTTTTGCTATTTCAAATTTATACATGTGCTCTAAGATGACACTCCTGAACATAAGTAATAATAGTAATTAGTGCAAAACTCTGTATGCCTGATGAATAAAAAATGATCCCACACAATAATAATGATTTGTAGATAGCAATATCACATCCAATGAAGTTCTGAGGAGAACAACAATAGATGAGCTCATTGGTTGACACTGCTCATACAGTTATGTAGCTGCTGCTATTATGGCAATTGGATGCAGGCAGAAAACAGTAGAGTGGTAAAACAGTGGAAAACATAGGTTTAACATTTTCAGAATTTTAAGGGGATAGGCAGCTTTAATTATCTAGAATAATAATTTAGAAGGCAGCCAAATAAGTGTCTGTGTGTGTGTATGTATGTGTGGTGTGGAAAATTAAGTAAAATTATGATTAAGGCTAATTGTGAGCCTTAGAACAGCAAAAGGTCTTCTTTGGAAGTTTTGTTCATTATAATTAACTCAGGAACTAAATTATTTTGCATATTAGGAATTTTTCTAAAGAACTTTTTGGCTAATTCATTAACATGAAGGCTCTAATGGATTTAGTATATTCTCAGTGAAGTGCTTCATCTCTTATCCAAAAATACAACATAATTTGCATTAATAGTCAACAATGTATAAGGTGCTAACAATGCAGTCTCCCTCTCCCAGGCTTCATCCAGTGATTCTATATGACATCAAATACCCCAGAGATGTGAATACAAATGGTGGAAAGTATAGCTGCCAGTATGATTGCAGCAGCAAGCTAAATAGTTTATTTATGTGTAGAGTTATTATGAGTACAGAGAGCAGGCATATGCAACACACAGCCCATGATGAATTTCCGAAGTATCATTGAATCTGGCCTATTAAGTGCTTAAATTTGAACAAACACACGCAATTGTAACGAATAAATTTTGCACAAATTTTTATTTTTATAGTTTTTTTTTTGTCCATTTTTAAAAAAGTTTTTTTATTTTTATTTTTACTTTTTGTTTGTTTGCTTCCACATGAATTGTACCTTAACTGCCCCTGTTTGCAACTGGTCACGACTTTGTTGACTCTTATGCTGCCATGAATATGATTATGTTCACTGCTGCTGCATGCAGTCATTAGATTTCAGGCTATATCAGTCTCTGTTTTACTTTCATATATTTGTGAATTTGTGATTAAATGCTAATTAAGATGGCTTCATCATAGAAAAGTAGTTTTTGAGAATCGCACACTTCAAGACGTAGAAGGGAAAACACAAAATTTAAAAAAGAGTATATCTGTACAACAGATGCTGTTCCACCAAAATAATGATATAGTTAACATCATTGTTCATGAAAGCTTTATTGTTAGTGAAAAAATTGCAAAGCACTAAAAAACATATTCCGAAGGTGAGTTTTTCAAGTAATGCTTATCTGCTGCCATAAAAGTAGTGTTTCTTGAGAAAAGTGACGAAATTCAAAAAATAAATCTTCCTTATTGGACAGTAACTGAATAAATCAATGAAATGGTCAGTGATGTAAAATTACACATTAAACATGCCATATCAAAATCTGAAGCATATCCCATTGCTCTTGATGAAAGCCACTCAGTTGGCTACATGTATCCATGGAGATGATGCCAACTCCATATACGGAATAATTGCTTGTTCTTCAGCCAATGAAAGATACAACAAAGCATAAAGAAATTTCCCAGGAAATAAAAAATATTTCTACTAGATCTGACTTAAGTGGAAAAACTTAAGCAGAATATCTACTGATGTTGCTCCATCAGTCATTGGATCAAACACAGGAGCTGTTGCCCATATAAAATCAGAGTTATCCAATGACAAAATAAATACTGACGATTTTTCTGTATTTCACTACATTATGCATCAACAAAACCTGTGTGCAATCAATGGGCACAATAACTTACTGCATAAATTTTATTAAGTCGAGGGCCCTGAACAATTATCAATTCCAAGAATTTCTTCTAATTCCTAATTTAGCCCCTAGCCCTGTCAAAGTTGTACATACTGGCTGGAAGATTTCGTTGAGTCAAAGTCAGGCAATTAGGCAGGTGCGCAAGATGACCAAGTATCAATTGCAATAACATTTGATAGCATCAAGCCTGATGAAAGTATGTTGCTAAATAACATGAGGTATTGTTTAGGATAAGTGAGAACTTGAATTCATCACTGAAAACTAAGTATCCAGTCTTCTACATTCCACCTACTATGAACATGGCACCTAAGATGGCATTAACAGCAGATGTAAGGAGTACCAACAATGCAGTCCACCCTTGGCCAGTTATCTTCCAATAGCTTGACATGACACAAAATGTTCTGGAAATGTGGGTAGTTAGTTCTGCTGAATGATGAAATGTGTAGCTGTCAGAGCAGTTGTGGCAGTTAGCGTAATGGCTTAGTCTGTGCCTCAGGCTATCTGCCGCATCCTGCTGCTGTCCTTTACCAAATTTGTTGGAACTACAGCTGGCAATATCATCTCACTGTATAATTGCTCTGAACCTCATGACAAACAATTTAATGGTATGAGTACCTTGTTCCTAGAATGAAGTGATGCAATAACTCTGGAACTAGCTCAATTGGATACAACCTTGTCTAGTGGTTCTCTGGGACCTCAGCTATATGAAACACCACTACCATGGAACTGGCTTGAATTTATACAATGAATGAGTGATGAGCATTTGTATCTGCTAATTTGCTCTTTTCTAGTGAGACATATACATGTTCTGTCCATGCTTTAATGACGTGCATAGCTGTGTTTGGAGTATTTACACGTCGAGTATCATTATGTTACTCTGCACCTTAATGTAATGTGTGGATTTTTTGGTCATAAAAAGTATTTTACTTTTTGAAAAATATAAATTGCATTTTAAATGAACTAAATCCAGAAAATAAAATGAAATTTGTGTAACAGCCGTGATAACAATAAAATTCAAGAACTAAAATAAACATTTTACATTCTTCTTGAACTTTAACTTTGATTGTATATTTTTCACCGTAAGTACCCAATTATTATTACAGTAATTTGCTTTAAGTGGTTAATTACACCAATAAGCAAGACACTTTTACAGATTTAAAGAAAAAGACCTTATACTGCAAAGATAATAATGAGAAAATAAGTCACACAGACTATATACATATATACACACATATATATAGAACCTCTATTACCCAGGCATTTATGAACCAAAATCTTTATTAACCATGCTGGTAATAAATTTAAAGAAATCATTTAAAAAATGTAGTAACATTACAAAGGGTACAACAAAAACAGTAATCTTCACGTATTCTTCTCATCAGTGACAGATCTTTTTGCATTTCTTATTAGCGATGGATCATTTATTGACTTGCTATTGTGTATTACAATGAAAGATGCAATTTACATATGTTAAAGACAAAAATAGTGCTAATACTCTGACATAAACTGACAATTACTTTGTAGGCATGTTTCAATGAATAAAATGATAACAAGACATCACTCAAAATGATATAGCAAAATAGGCAAACACACACACAAAAAAAAAAAAAAAAAAAAAAAAAAAAAAAATACTAAATTAAGTTTTTTTTTTTTTATTTATTTTTATTTCTTAGTGATGAAGAAATCATTTGTACCATAGATCTGATGAACAATAAAAACTTCAATGATGAGAGTGATGCTGAGATGAAAGCAGAAAATATGAAAATTAGTCATGCTGAAGCATTAAACAAAGCTCTAGAGCAACATTTCTGATACTTATACTATGGATTTTTTATGGATATAAAATCATGCCATGTACAGGATTATCACATTAACCTCTAAGCAATTTCTTTACAAAAATTAATGTCTCATAAAGATGCATGAAATTTGAAAAAAAATCACAACGTTTCTCAGTTGAATAAATTTTAAGGAGTTTGTTTATTTCAATTTTTTCCTTTTGGTCATGAAATAAAATCTGTAAATTTTTTTTGTTCAAATAAAGGAAATAAACTCTATTTACCAACAAAAGAGCTTATTAAAATGTTAATTCTGGTATTTTTGCACTTAATTTTAAAACTGTAAATAAATATCTTTAGAAAAATTCCTTGTCGAGAGAAAACTGGCATGATTTAAAATTTAATCTCTACTAACCAAGGTTTTAATTATCTAAGATGGTTATAATCTAATTACTTTAGATAATTGAGATTCTAATATATATAGATACCCACTGCTTTTTAAATGTAGTTTATATATATTTTTTTCTCTGGTCTCTTTTAAATAAAAATAAAAGATTACAGATGTCATATCTAGTTACATGGTTTAGAGCTGAATTGTTAGCATAGCTTTATCTTCTAGTTAAGTAATGTAAATAAATGAACAAATATTTTATATGCACCTATTATACATAATAAAGGAAAAAAATCTATGCATTACACATTTGCAACAAGTACTTACAATTCATCCTAAAGTGAAATTAGATTAAAAAAAATATAACCGCCTCTAAAATACATGAGGCTAAATAAAATGATGCATATGTACATCATAGTTCTCCAATAAATACTTTTATTTTGATTTCATCATTGGCATTTCTACGAAGATATTTTCACTGATGGTAAAAAAAAACTGAACACTTGAAATTATACAATTATTACTAAATAATTACAAGATAACTTTATGAAAGGACTTTCAGTTTCAAGCAGACAGTAAAAATAAATAAATTTTAATTACCTTCAATACAAGGTGGCAGATCTTGTTTTTGCAAAATTTCATTTAAACATTCTGTAAACTTCTCGTAATAAGGATCCGTGAAAATGTTATCAATCCGGCCATTTTCAAAAAGATACTGTTGAATTCCTAAATAAGTAAATTTAAGACAGATAATTTACCTGCATGATATTTGACATTAAACATACTATTACTAAAAAAATATGAAACAAAAAGATCATTGTGAAAGAAAACCAACTTATTCAACAGATTTGAAAGAAATTTTAAAAATAAATTTTTCATACACTTTAACAAGCTTTTAGCGTTTACATATGTGTAAAAAACAGTTTTTTGCACAACACACGAAAACTACAAGTAATAAAAAATACACAAATTATGATTATGACATTTTGACAGTCAAATTTAACATTAAAAATATCCTTGCCAAATGTTTATCTAACAGTATATATACAATCTAGTTGAAATGCATGGTCAACAACAAATTTAAGTACTACTGATTGCTTGGGTTATAATTTCACCTGTCTGACCTAATCAGAATAAGCCCATGAACTTTATTGTACAAGAAGTGCAAGACTGTGGCTGTTGTTGACATGAGCATTGAGCGCCTTATATGTGACAGTATGAGGTTGCCCAGTTTTGTTCCAATTTTGAATGACAGCACACCAGAGAACAGGTTTGAAGGGGCTGCACTGCACTTCTGCTACCACCAAACCACTCAAGAGGTTTGGTATATATGTTTCGGTTTGTTGTAAATGTTGAGTGTTCCCATGTCACAAATACACTATACGTTTACAAATATCCATGCCTTATCCAGGATTCCAACCTGGATTCATTGCCTTGTCAGTTAGTGTCACTACACACTATACTGTCTGGGTTGTGTCGATCATTTGTTGTAGCAGTAATGCCTATAATTGTAAAAGTGTATCTGGAATTCTTCGAGGGCTGTTGGTAGGATTCACTAATTCACAATTTACCTTCCATGATCCACACACTTTGTAGAATTCAGGTACACTGGGGAAAAAAAAAGGGGGCAGTTCTATATGTCCTGTTCTACTGGGCTGATTAACGAAATTCAAGTTACGTTTTTCAAATCTTGAAAGCGCGATTTAGGATATATATTAGATTTATATATAGCATTGTTCTAATATAGGTATTTTGACACAAAATTGGTCTTTCCTTACATAACATACCAATTGTTTTCCATATTTCGATTCTACGACTCAAATTATGCCTAAAATTATGCCTAAATATTAAATTTTGTAAAATTTGGTGCGAAATTTAAAAATTTAACTTGGCACATTTTTTCAAGTTTGCACAAAGAATAATTCACTTTGGCGAACCTATTTTCTTTTCCCTTCCATTGTGGAGGAGCAGGAAAAAAAATCACAGCTTTTCTAGCTTTTTACATTGTGCATGAGTGAGGAAAAAAGTCCCATTGTTTCTACTTTCAAATAATTTTAAAAAAGTGCCTAAACCACATTTGATGTTATTATCGCTTTCAACAGTATGCCAAATTTCAAAATGTGCCAGTATATAAATTCACGTATACCTTTGGAAATTTTGAATAAAAAACTGTAATTTTTTGCAGGTATGCTTAGAAATACATCTATATTAAGATGATGATACAAATTTTATAGATCATAATTCAAAATTTTTTCAAAAATTTATAAAAATTATTTAAACACAAATTTATTTGAATACTATATTCAAATATCAAAGGAAGAATCAAATAAATTTGATAAAAAAAGATATCAATAAATATGTTCAAATTAAAATTTTAGAGAAATTTTAAAAAATACTGTGTGATTTTGAAACTTGAGTCGTAGATAGAAATATGAAACAATGGCAAGTGATTTCAGAAAAGTCCGTTTTGTGTCAAAACCTATATTATTAGAACAATGCATTTATAAATCTAATAATATCTAAGTCGCGTTTCAACACATGACAAACGCATTGAATTCCGTCAATCGGCTCAGTAAAACGGGAGATATAGAAATGTGCTTTTTTTTTTTTTTTTTTTTTTTTTTTTTTTTTTTGCACAGTGTGCCTGAATTTTACTGGTAACAACAATTCAGGTAAGAAAAACTGTTTATAAAATTATTCCATTATCTAGGTATCCCTGAAACAAGTCTGTTAGCTTTATGTGGTCATGCCTTATGATTTATAATACTACATCCATATAGACAGCATAAATAGTGAATGAAAAATAAGCTGTAGAATTTGATCACAATATCAAGTACTTGATACTGAACTAACACTAATAACTTGAAGGTAAATGTGAACATTTACAGCTGTTACAGTCCACACTAGCAAATAACTTTCTCTAGGATTGAGTCTCTCCTTATAAAAACGCTTTGGAAAAGAATTTTGGAGGTTGAAGACTTGTCTGTAAAGAGAACTTGGTTCCACTAATCTTTAATTCCACATTAGATGTGCAAAAGCCCAATTTCAGTGGGCTCTGACATCGGATGGTATACATGGAGCATAGATAGTAGATCTTCTCATTAACATCTACTCTCACAGAGTTCACATGAAACAGTTTGTTGAGATGTGGGCCTTACATTTCTAACAGAAAAGCTAAAGCTGACTATAATTTTGTTAGTGTTCTATAACATCTTCAACAGAAAGTGTTTGCTTGCTGCTACCAAAATAATCTTACAGTATCAAGATCCAGGTCTTCAAGAGATAGTTTGATAACTTATTATGATTCCACACTTTGAGTTTTCTATTAAGACGAATATTTAATTTTGTCGCAAAAGTGGATTGTCTTGCATCAGCTAAAAATATTCCTATAGTCTTTCACTCAGTTATTCACCCAATTTATTTTAAGCATGATTTTTAATCTGCCCAACTCACATTTCGCAAAACACTCCCAAATTATGATTTGAAGTGCAAGTCAACAATATTTTACTTTAAGTAGTTTAGTTTTTGGGTTTGTGATTCTATTTGAATTCAGTACTGAAAATTGGATCAAATATGTCAGATTTAGCATTTAATTCCAAAGAATATACAACAGAATTAATAGATTAAAAAATCTGTTAAAGATTTTTATTTATTTATTTATTCCTTACTTTTTGAGCACCAGGGTATAAGGAATCATAAAATATACTATGGTTGCTGTATAGGCATAAATACACAAGATTATTAGGAAATTTCACGTGAAAAATTAAAAGAGTAACTGTAAAAAGATATGTAATGATACAAGAAAAAGTATTACTAGCATTAGAGAACACAAAGGCACTTGGGCTCTTTTTTCTATTCCCATATTCATTCAAAAATAAGATTTTTCTCACATTTTTAAGAAATAAACATACAAGTGAATATTTATCTTTCAGTAATTATGGAAAGAAAAGACTAGCTTTTGGAAATTTTTCAGAAATAACAGCAGCATCCATAAACTGATTACAATTTGTTTTCAGCCATATGGCATGTTAGATGCATGCCTAATTGCTTTTAGTGGTAATTAACCAGCGTGAATGAGTATATTTCTATATATAGTAATTACCTATGTGATTTATTTAGCCTACAAACAGTATAATTATTTTACACAATATGATAATTTAACTTCCTCCCCTCTTTATGCAATTTCACTTATCAAAATACCCAATTCTCAGACACTATCAAATTTTAGAACAGAAATATAGCAAACATAAGATTTTCCTGTCTTATATTTTAAATATGTTTTTTTTTTTTTTTTTTAATTAAAAGAAACTCAACAAGTTCCCCCATGTACCACATAGTATCACATGGGGCTTACAGAAGCAAGTACGAAACACAATACAAAATAAACAAGAGAAAATTGAAATAAAATCAAGGATGATTACAAAGTTTTACAATGAACTGACAAAAAATGTTAAAAGCACTTCTCTCGGAAATAAATTGGTAAAACTCTGGAGGCCAGTTAATATTAAAATTTTTCAGTCCCAGTTTCAAGATTTTTCTTTCGCTCATATTTAGGACATAGAGAAGCACATGTTCTACATTCTCCTCGCCGCCGAGGCCACAGTCACAGACAGACTCAGGACTCAACTTAAATCTGTTCAAATAACTTTTAAAATTCCCATGTCAGTAAGAAACTGGGTTAATTTGTAATTTGTAAAGAAATGATGACATGACAATCTCATTTTAATAGAAGGGAAATATCTCCTAGTTAAACTCCCTTTATTTGAATTAATGAATTCGTGATTCCCGACTCCACAATGATTTCAGACATGACCTTCTTATAGAAGGAATTAGGGATATTGACAAAAAGTGTCAATTTCCCGCTTAGTCGCAGTCTTAGCAAAGAAATCGGCTCGTTCGTTCCCAACAACACCTGTATGACCACGAATAAATGAAATGAAACCGAAATATTTTTATCCTTAGATTCTTCAATTCTTTTTGAATCCGATAATGATATTATTAGAAGAAGAAATACATTTTAAGATCTCCAAGGATGAAAGGGAATCAGTACAAATGATATAGTCTGAAACAGCACTATTTTGTTTAGAGACCATTTGACGGCGAAGTTTATGCACAAAAGTTTCAGCTATGAAAACGGTACATCATCTCTGATTCTAAATTGAAAGTGCTCAAATTCAAGACCATTTTTGAAGACAACAATGGAGACCAACCTTGCCATCAATTTTGCTGCATCAGTATAGCAAGTTACAGGCGAATCACCCACAATTTTATTGCTAAACTGAATAAAAATTAATAGCATTTCTTTCTGAAGGATGAGGGAGATCAGATAGAGGTAAAATACAGTCATGCTGAGAGACAGTAGAAGCAGAAATATTTTCCTATAAGCAATAGAATGAAGAATTGGCAATGTCAATGGAGGAAAGCAAGAAATTGCATAAACAGACTCATAGCTTACGGTACGATATCCACATATGACCCACAGAAGTATCAGTCTTTTGAAACGCGTCATAAATATCTATAATTTATCTTCTTCTTGAGCGATATACCCCAGGCTCTAGAGCCATCATAATAAAGGGTTGCAATTCTTGTTTATAGATGAGCGAATGAACGTTGTAATTAATACCGTATGTGTTACGTGCAATACAACTTAATCCACGCTGTAATCTATCAATTTCTCTGATAATAAGTTAAGTGTTGTTTCCAAGAAAATTTACAGTCAAGAAAAACCCCAAGATATTTCATTTGCTTTA